GGGGGGGTGTAGTAAGTGGTTAAGGTAGTAAAAGGTAGATTAGCAATCAGTAAAAAGAGTATTTGCTTACTACGTCACGTTCTCAAGGACGGTTTTGAGCTCAAGGACGGCTGTAGGACGGCCATAGGACGGTCTTAAAACGCTCGAAGACGGTTCCACGACGGTTCTTATACGGAAAGACGAGTGTCTAAAAAAACGATTTAATCGAATAAAATAATTTCATTTGAGCGACGATTTAAATAATTTAAATCGTTTGTTTTCAAATTCTATTCAATCTTAAGTATAGGCCTACGGTGATCCACCAGCCATGCCAACTTATTAAAATCGTTCGTAAAAGAGATGGTTATCGGACGATCAGCTGACCGTCCAAATGCTCCTGCATTCCCCTTTAAGGTATATCAATTATCGAACTATTTCAATTTTTTAAAAACGAGCTTATTAATAAACTGGTTTTAAAAATGAGGAAGGTTATAGGACGGCCACAAAACGGCCTCTTTCAATGGGACGGTCTTCTCGGTAAACTATTCTTGAAAAGAGCTTAATACGGAATTTAAGCGGTCTAATAACCGTCTTTTGTAAAAGAGGATCAGAGGACCATTTAAATGACCCCCTACCACCCTTTAAGGTATTCTTGAAAAGAGCTTAGTACGGAATCTAAGCGGTCTAACAACCGTCTTTTACAAAAGAGAGTCAGAGGACCATTTAAATGACCCCTACCACCCTTTAAGGTATTCTTGAAAAGAGCTTAGTACGGAATTTAAGCGGTCTAATAACCGTCTTTTACAAAAGAGAGTCAGAGGACCGCTCAAATGACCCCCTACCTGCCTTGAAGGTATGCGAACTTGTCCGAGAGATCCGAACTACGGACGGGTCCCAGATTAGCCCATGCTCCATGCTGCCATTGTGTTCCATACCCTCCCCAAAGTCACCACCAGAACTCGAAACATGAACACGTCCCGATTCTCCCTCTCACTTCGGACCTCGACCGTCCATCGATGCCTCGTCCTGGCTTCTCCTCTCTCGAGCTCCCTGGTACCCGGAGGAGCCGGAGCGATCCAGGACCGGCCGCCGCTTCGCACCGTTGAAGGCCCTCGCGGCAGCCGTGACAGCCTCGCCACTTCCAGAGTTCCTGTCCAGGTTTCGTCGATTCCGGCTGCTGTTCTGCGATCCGTGCGCGCTGCTTCGTCCGGAGTTGTGACGAAGTGCGGTGACAAAGCTGCTGTTCGACTCGTCACGCCTCGTCGTCTCCGTCTCCTGGATCTCGCGTGGTCGGCTTCGGCTGGATGTTCTCGGGGGCACGGCCGTTCTTCCGGAGGGCTTGGTCGCCTCCGTCCTCGAGTGGCGAGACGTCTCGAAGGTACCGTCTCTTGACAGAGAGGGTGACTCCGACGGCGGCTGGCTCGCTTCTGTGGAACTTCGCGGATGACTGTAGCCTGCTCGGGTCCGTCTTGGTGTCTGGCCGGTCCTGGCCCTTTGCGCGAGGACTTCATCGTCGCCCGGTCGGAAGGAGAACGCAACCTGCGAAGGCGATTCCTGGGACAGGCTGTCATAGCGAGACTTGGAGCCTATGGATTCCCGGATCGACAGATCTGCCATCCTCCATATCGAGCCTGTCGAATTGATCGACATGGACCTCGCCTGGAAGCCAATACCAAGCCCAGAAGGGGCAGCAAGTGGGGAAACGGTGTCGCTCCTACCCTTGGGTGAATTTGTGCTCGATTCCGACTCGGAAGACGAATTGAAGGCCGCCCCAAACTCCGCCTGTGCTTGCCGTCGCGCAAGCTCCTCAAGCTGCGCCTGGCTAAGTGCCGCCAAGTCAGGATCTGGACCTTGTTGTCGCACCGATTCGACCAACTCTGCTGGCGACGCGTACAGAGGAAAACTGCTAGTGGATGCTCGTGACTCTAGAACACGGCCCTTGGAAGAGATTTCGGGTGGTGTATTACGAACGTCGGTCGACACTTCTCGCGCATTGGCTCTGATTCTGGTCTTGAAGAATCGATCGGCTCACCAAAGTCAGTATGAGGGTAGGTCCATATGGGATAGCGGAATACTTACCTCGATATTTGTCATTCGGAGTAATCTCGATGGGTATCTCTGTGATACTGTCCGAACGCCCTGTGCCAGGTCAGACGACACAGTAGAAATTGAGGGGACGAAGCCTCACCTCTGGAGTTACGCGCAACGTTTCGCGCCTTGATCGTGCCAACCTCCCGTCCGATTCTTTCTCCAATCTTCGAGCCATGGACTGTACTCTTGGTTCTAGCCACTGGACGGTCGGGGGGCTTAGCAAATGTTCCATTTTGCCTGTCCCAAGAGCAAAGTACCCATGAGACAGAAACTGGAAAAGGGAGGGGGGAGGGAGGCGGGGAGCGATGCTGCCTGATTGTACTTACAGCTGACTTTTTCCATACCCCCCTCTGTGTTGCTCAGCAAGACCTCCAACTTCCTCATCTCATTCTTGTAGTCCCGCTCCTTCAAATCCCACTGCGTAGCCAACGTCTCAAAGTCCTTGATGTCCTTCGTGTGCCCCTGCTTCAGCTCTTCGATCGACTCGTTCTTTCTCCGTAGCTCCTGTCCCAGCTCTTGATAGGCTTCCAGTACGTGCAGGATGGCGCTGTTGTATTCCACCGGGACCGGCGCGACCGAGCTCTGATTCATCATGATCACCTTGAGCATTTCCGCCATCTGATCCCCCGAGGGCTTGTCTGGAGTCCCCCCGTCAGCGAGCGTGGTCCGGAGCGCGTAGGAGGTGCGCAAGAGAAGTCATTTGGATCAGTGGGGAGGGACGTACGATACACCGTCTCGGGATTCCGAAGGCTAAAGAATGTATCCGGCGTCGGGGGGATTGGCGGCGTCGCGGGACGGATGCCAATGAAGGAAGATACTCGAGATGAGGGTCGAAGTCGGGGGGTGCTGGCATGGATCGAGATGCCATCCTCACTCTCCGTGCCAGCAACACTCTCGTCGAAAGAGAGGTTGCTTGGCCGTTCACTGGCATTTGACGCGCCGTATGTTCTGCCTCGTCCAAAGACAGGTCTCAGCCAGTCCGTCATCTTGGGACTGCAGCGATGTTGGCTCTGGAGTGATAAATTTACGGAGCGTCGGTGAGAAGAGGAAGTCGCCGTTGTTGACTTCTTTCCAAAATGGCAAGCGAAGGGCACGGTTATGACTCAGGTACAGCTCGAAGAGTGTGAACGTGTGAACCTGTAGCGATTCCGAATTTCGACGGTACTGTGCGATCCGACTTGAATTCAACCATACAAATGCATTTCAACTTCAGTGTCATAGTTTGAGGATTTCACGGCGAATTGCGGCTGCTTTTAGAGGGGTTTCGTGGCAAGGCTTCTCTGCATTCATGATCTTTCAGCAAGCTTATATGCTTGCAGATCTGGCTAGTATAGCGGGCATAGCAAGCCTGCTATGCTATGATGCGGACGCCAAGGGCTCATTGAGAACGAGGTCTGAGTGACTGCCTGGGTATGGTAAGAGGGAAACGCAAACACACCCTGTAAAACCACCGCTCCCTCCCCCAACTCCGTTTGGCAATATACAAAACCCATGGAGTCTCTTTCTCCATCCAGTATGGACCACCGCGATCATACATAGCGCGTGGTGTTCCCGCCGAGACAGGCGCTACACCAGCGCGTGACTTCCATCGCGACGAGGTATTGTGATTCTCCCATTGTATTGGCAATTCCTCTGGGCATCCCAGAGTGTATGGTCATGCGCAAGGCAAGATCCAAATGCCCGCGATCAGTAGAAGAGGTCCTCTGCCTTCTGTCTCCGCCGTCCTCTGCCTTCCAATTTCTCCGAGAACAGCTCCTTGCCGGAATTGTCGCCCAGAGTAGCAGGGAACAACTCTTTCACTCGAGAAGCTCCTTTAATGTTGAAACCTTGCGAAGATGGGCTCAGAGCAGAACCGCGAATAGTGATCCTGGAGGCCAACGAACCACCTCTTGCCCGGCTATCCGAGCTGCCATCCATGAAAGGCACCGGCATTCTGCTGGCAAACAAGTCGGCTGCCTCATCGGCGGCATTGAAAGCCGCTGAACGGCGATGCTTGGGGCTAACTTTCTGGGGGAAGAGCTCCTTCGTAGCACTGGCCTCTCTCAGCTGCGCCTTGATAGCTTGCGCTTTCACCCGGTTTGCAGAAGCCACCTCGTTGTTAATCCGTCTCCTCTCCGCAATGCGAGCCTCCACTATATCTTGGGCCCCAGCTCTATCCCGAGTCGGAGAGGCACTTCGATTGCGTAATCTCCCACTCCCTCTGTCATCACGCGATGGGAATAATTCTCTGCCAGCGGCTTTTGGATACCGACCGCCCCGATCTTCCCGACCTCGGTTCTCGCTACTAGAGGGTGGACCACGGCGAGTACTTCTGTCTGCCCGTTGTGCTATAGCTGCCGCATCGTCATCATAGAGGGAAGCATCGAAGTTGGACTCGCGCTCTCGCCTTTCTTGCTCGTTGTCGTCGTAACGCTGGCTGCGGTATCCCCCATCTTCTCGGTCCCGATAATTTCTTGGTCCTCTGTTACTCTGCTTGCGCCGTTCGGCTGGGTCATGCTCTGGGTTGAAGAGGTAGAATCTGCTTCGCTCCCGAGCTCCGGCTTGCTTCCGATCCCCCACTACAGCCAACCTCACCACCAGTTTTGTGTCGGGGTGAAGAGGGAATGCTTTTGCTGGAATCGCTTGTAGAGTGGGAAGTTGCGAAACATCTGGGGCTTCGACGGCCGCAAAGGCCACCAAAGCTGCCTGCGCAATCTCCGGAGTGTCGTAGATGAGGTTGGCAGATGTGTCATCGATCCATTCGACGCGTACAGGTCGGTGAAGGTCGTAGTGCTCCGAGGCGAAGGCTAGGATGTCTTTGGTGGTGAGGTTGTCTAGGCCTCGGAGGTGAACTTTCTGAGGCGTAACTTCGCGCGCATTCTCTTCTGTGGTGTCATTGGGGATATCAAGGGCGACTGGTGTCTCTTGCAGAGCCTGGATGACAGGTTAGTCCTTGCGCCAGGAGAATCGCAAGGCGGGATCGGAACCTACCGAGACCTTGGGTTCGGCGAGAATGTCAATATCTGGGATGATCAGCTCCTCGGTCATTCCCATGTCAATGTCCATCTCCATATCCATATCCATCGTGACTGGCTGGCTATGCTTGGGCCAGGTGTGGCGGGATTTTCGTAGATGGTGAGAGTGAGGGCGAGGGGGAGCTCGAGTCGTTTTATCACGTCTTTGGGAGCTGGGCGCGAGGAGAATTCGGGGTCGAGCCGCGGGAGGTGAATCGGCTGTCACTGGCTGGCGCGTCAAGCTCGAGCTTGCGCGGTTGATTGATTGATTGATTGATTGATTAATAAGCTTTCAAGAGACCAATATGATTGTAGATGTGAATGTGAAAGTGAATGTGAAAGTGAACGTGGATGTGAGTGTGAATGTGAGTGTGAATGTAAGTGTGAATTGTAAATGGTGGCATGCATGGCGAAGCAGTTACTCCGACGGGGCAGGCAGTCTGTTAAATTCTCGTCTAAGCGTCGTCGGTTCGCGGGCAAGGCTGAGGTGAAAGTTGCCAGCAGCCAGGGTGGAGGAATGCCAAGCCGGATCTACTATATTCCGAGACACCCACTCATGTCTTGTTCCAACGACCTCACACAAGAGTATACATATCACGTGGTATTGATCTCGCTGAAGGACTGTTCTGGTTTGTTTTCATGTTTTGATCTGATTTGAATTGCAAGGAGGAGAAGCCAGTTGTATCTGCTGTCTGGAGACATGAGGATCAAGCTCTTGTTTTTCGGGACATTTGAAGAGCTAGTCTGAAGTAACGCCCTCCGTGAGAGGAAGAGTGAGTCAACGTCGCGAGCTCGAGCAGAAATTTAAAGAACCAAGTAGGTAGGTAGGTACATGAACGGCTCGGGGAGAAATCTTGCGCACCCGGCCTGGAAGAATCCTGGGTATCCGTGAGAGGATTTGAAGGAGGAAAAGAAAAGAGCAAACAGACACCACCACCAATCTGTGAAGCAGTCGGTCGGTAGGCGCCGAGCTGGGCGCGAGAGGAGAGAAGTATGTGAAGGGCGGACAAACCACTTCCATCAGAACCATAAGAACCATCACCACCGCCCATCACCTAATTGTGACAGTAAACCAAGCCAAAGGAACCAATAACCGGGCCGACCCAATGACGAACCCGCAGCAAGCACCCAACACCAGCGAGCACGAGCGCATCACTGGCTCTCCGTCTTCCTCTTCTGGGATGATGTAGCACCAGTGCTGCCCTGGCCTTGGTAATCGTAATCTTTGTCTTCCTTGATGTAACGGTTCCTATGTATAGGTCAGCAAGTAGTTCAGACGGGATTCAGGGTCGATGTAACGTACAGGTGCATCTTGCAAGCCGTGTGGGTACGGTCGACGCCGAAGGAATATTTGACTAACCCCGTCAGCATGGTTCTCTAATCGTCTCGCAGGGTAGAAAGAATAGAGCGTGGCTCGGGCGATGCCCGGAGGAGCTGCAGGGACCATTCCAGGAAGAGACGGGTATGGAAGTAGACCTACTGTTCATCGACATCAGTTTGTAGAGATTCGTATCTCTCAGAGGCACTATCCAAGGAGATAGGAAGTCAGCAAAAAGGATCATCTTCGCCTGTATCAGGATCAGATTCAGGGAATAAATACCCAGATTCTCGTCAATCTCTCTGTTTCGACGGTCGACGATGCAGTAGTAGAGAGCAGCCGACTCGTACTGGGACCACTTGCTACCGGGTACTCCCTCATGGGCCTCGTGATCTTCATCATCGGGCAGGCCTGGCAGGTTTCGCCATTCTGTAAGCTTCGGGGCCTCCTTCGTGGCAACTGCATTCTGAAAGCCAAGAGGTCAGCGAGTAGTCACAAGAGTGAGTGGGACCCCGGGGGGAATCGGCGGCAACTTACTATGTCAACCGTGATTATGTTGTCGGAGTCCACCGTCTCTCTCCTCTCCTTCCTCTGCCCCTTTTGCGTCTTCGGCTTCTTGGTTGACGCTTTTCTGTCAAGCTCGATGTCATCCTCTGAGTCGTCGTCGTCGTCGCCGCGAGTCTTTCTCTTTCTGGACGGTGCAGCCTTTCTGGCAGGCGCAGCCTTCTTCAGCGGAGCACTCTTCTGGGCCGGGACGGTCTTTCTGGCCGGAGCGTATGCCGGCGACGGCGTCTCGACTGGCGCGGTCTTCCCGGCAGGTTGGACCTTGCGCTTCTTGCTCACATGAGCCGAGGATTCGAAGTCGGATTCGTCCGACTCGGGCTCGCTCTCGTCCTCGTCCTCGTCCTCGTCCTCGTCCTCGACCTCGACGTAGGATCGCTTCGTCTTGACGACAGACTGCTGCTTGGATGATTTAGTAGATGCTCTGCCTGGAAAAATTGGGGGTGAGAGGAAAGCTTACCTGTCCGCCGCGGCTCATCATCTTGCGCCGCTCTGCGATCGACGAGTAGAACTCGCCGTCGTTGCTCACCTCTTGGGACGAGGGAGCAGGGCTCTTTCGGCCGGCTGGCTTGGCCTTTGCCGAAACGGGGGCCTTACGAGCAGGCTTGTACGGAGGAGAGGATGGTGCAACCACACTCTCGTCGTCGGACTCTTGATCCTGGGGGATCAAGACTGCAGCGCCCCCGTAAGTCTTCCCACGAGACTTGCCACCGGCTTCATGAAGTTAGCATCTGTACTCTCATCTCAAACTGGATCACGGAGATCTTTTCTTGCGAGAATATCTCGGCTCTGAGAAGAAGCTCTTCTGAGGCTGGATATCCGAAGATATGCGAAAGAGAGAGGACAAGGGGGAAACGAGAGTTTGACATACCGGGACGGGCCACGACCTCATCATCTGAGATCTCCTCCTCGTAGGAAGAAACATCCTCCTCGTAGGAGGAGACATCCTCCTCGTCAGAAGACTCGGCAATGGATCGAACATTGTCCTCATCAACTGACTCGGCAGTGGATTGCTCGTCATCCTGGAAGTACTCAGCAAATGATTGCGCATAATCTTGGACGGATCTACTCACAGATGCAGCCTCGGATTCGAGGGACAGAGTGACGGATCGAACGTCATCTCCCCCAAGATCCTCGGCTAGAAGATGGTCAGCAGGGCCGACAGAGTACGGAACGCACGACTTACCAGCACCATCGGACTCGTATCCGCGGCCGGAAGCAGCTCTCTCCTCCTCAGCTTTCCTGGCCAATTCGGCCCGGATGTCACGGCCGTTGTCTCAGGCCTGGTCAGCATGTCCGACGGAATACAGACGGGATGAAGCACTCACAGGCGTACACCCAAGCATCGTCATCCGTGCCGACAAACTGTCGGGTCTCGGGAGCTGCGGCAGTGTTAGCAGGATGCGCGGTCCAAGAACATCGCCACGGGGTAGGTACTTACTGGCGTACGAGTATTCGATGGGCCCGTCCTCCTCCGTCCGGGGCAGGAGCCACTTCCATGCGCGCCCAGAGTGGTAGTCGGCCATGTACCGCTCTTCAAGATCGGTGTCCTCCATCTTTGAGCTTGGGCTCGGAGAGATGGATGTGTAGTGGAGATGTGAGTAGTGTACTGTAGTGTAGTGGAGTGGAGTGGATGAGGGTGTAAAGACAAGAAGAAGAAAGTGCAGAAAGGGTACTGGTCTGGAAGCGGACTCGGACTCGGAATTCTGTGAATCTTTGTTCTGAACGTGAGAGAAAAGAAGAAGGGAAGGAAGAGAACGAGGGCGTAATTTTCTTTTGTAGCTGGGAGGCCTGCACCGTTACCATTGTGGGCAGGCATAATAGCAAGTTGTAGCTATTGTGGCTCCCTATCCCGAGATTTGCTATTGTGAGGTTTTTTTCGCTACAATGGAGTAGCTCGGGGAGTGATCTTGCTATTGTCAATGGCCAGAGTAAACACTCGCTTAATGAGGGCATCGTTGACCGCCCTCGGCGGCGAGAGGGGACAATGCTAAGCGCCATTCACTCACCGGTACGAAGAGGTATCTGCAGCATTGGCCCACGGTGTTACGCTTTGGGTAAGATGGTTACAGAGGACCTCTATGGTATGATATGTTCTTGCGGCGCAGGTGGATGCCAACCATTCCCGTATGTTATTGACGACCCCCTTCTTTTTAGCCGAAGGTGAGAGCATCGAAATGGGGTGACCAGAGAAGTTGTAAAGACGATATCGCATTAATGCTGAGACTGTAACTAGATATTCAATGAATAAAAATGCTATATACGTGCGCAAGATACTTTGGAGCACACAGAGGAATCAAGAATAGAGAGTGATGTCCGTCGAGTTGCCGCCATCAGATTAAAGGGGTGGAGTTGCCCGATTCTGATATAGCGAAATGGATCCACATTCGCATATACATGCTGGAATATCTATAACTAGCCTAACAGAATTATTTAGCCATGGGTTGCGATGGATGGGGAACGGGAATGGGAACGCAGAGAGAAAGGAAGACAGGCAGGCATCTTGGGTTGACGTTGGCAAGCACACGTGACTGCATAGCAAAGCAAACGCTCAGAGGGGGGCTTCGATTGCAAGCAAGCACACACCCCGACTCGGCTGACTGACCGCAAACCTACCTGACCAACCTCTAAATCAATTGAATAGAAACCTGCGAGATGCCCGTGTCAATTCCGGGCCCTGCTCGCGAGCTTGTACTGACCCCCGAAGCGCTGAACCAGGCAGCTTTTGCGGAGTTTGGGACTGTCATCGAGAATCCCGCGCCGTCGCTAGTTCCATCCTCCCGAATCTCGAGCCTGCCGCCAAATGCGGTGCAGGCCAACCAAGGCAGCGCCCTCAAATATCTGGATGTCACCCACATGGAGGATTACTACCCTCTTGCTCCGAGCAAGGTGGCCTCCAAAGCCGTCATGAACATGTTTGTTTGTGCCCCCCGACGGCCTCTTCTCCCGAGCCACGGCCACGCCCACGGCCACGGCCACGGCCACGCCGACACCCGCAGCCCCGAGGGCCACTTTCCCATCGAGATACTGGAACGGCATCCGTACACGACGCAGACCTTCATCCCTCTCGGTCTGTCTGCTGCAGAAACACACCGCGTTCGCTATCTCGTGATCGTGGCTCCCTCTCTGCCGGCGACAGCGGCTGACCAGCACCTGCCTGTCCCCTCCTCACCAGCAGCAGCAGCAGCACCCGCCGCCAGGGATGAGCTGCCCGGGCGAGGTCTTCCCGACCTCCGGAGGGTCAAGGCCTTCTTTGCCACGGGCGCACAAGCCGTCACGTACGGAGCGGGGACCTGGCACGCCCCGATGGTGGTGGTGGGCGGCAGGCCCATCGACTTTGTGGTGGTCCAGTTTGCCAACGGGGTGGGCATCGAAGACTGCCAGGAGGCGGAACTGGCCGCGGAGAACGGACCGCAGCTGTTGGTCGCCGTGCGTGTGCAGCCCCAGACGCCGCTGAAGCTTTGATGGGAGGAGGAGGGGGGGGGGGGAAGCAGAAGAAGGAGAAGGAGAAGGAGAAGGAGACGCCGCAGGGTGCAAGAGAGCAGTCGGTCGCGGGTTTTGGAGTCATGGGCTAGAGCGGAAACGGGCGTGCCCGCGCTGGTTGTCTAGTGCCTACGAGGGGAGCGGCAGGAGATCACTTGATCGTGGCTGCATCCGTGATGATGTTGGAACGTCGACAGTCAGTCCAGTTCAACGTGTAATCGAGTCCGGTCCGTCCGTCCGTCCGTCTCACCTCCTTTCGACGATCTGAACAGGCCGGAAAGACAGGAATGGGATGATCGTTGCAAAAGGCACGCCCTCCGTCCGTCCGTACGAACGTGCAGGCAGGCAGGCAGACAGGCACGTAGATACCTACCTAGGTAGGCCCTCGGCTCGTGAACCGGCGCGCCACCCCCACCAGAAACCCAACCGCGGTCATGTGAGGATGGAGGAGTGCTCCCCTAACCTCGGGAGATGCTTTTTCGAAAATCGCAGCTGCGGCTGATTCATCCACCATCAAACCCGAGGTCCGTCTTCGTATTCTCGCAGAGACTTCCCTGCCTCCCTCCCTCCCTCGGGAGACCCTTAAATCTTGCACAACATTGCATCCTGGGCACTCGTCATGGATATTGGTCATTTAGTTCTGCGGCTCCCTAGATAGATGGATAGATGGATAGATGGATAGATAGATAGATAGAGAGATGGGCGGGACGGTTCACGTCGAGGTCGTGGTGGAGGGTCGAGGCCGAGTCCGAACTCACACTAGCACATGGAAGTTACCGTACCACACTCACTTTTTAGGTTCCGCCGTGATGAACGATACGATGATGATGATGATGATGATGATGATGTAAACCAATCTGCTAGCTGCTAGCTGCTATAATGAGTCCCGTTTCAAGCAGAGAGAAGGTATTAGGCATTAGGCATTAGGTCGGTCGGTCAGTCGGTCGGTCAATCGGCAGGGGTTAATTTGCACTTCTGTCCGTCGAGATCGCGATGATGTTTGTGTTTGACATATGACAAGAGACGACGACGACGAGCCCATTTAATTAACGCCACCCCAGACGCCCCCCTCGAGTCCCCAAATCCTACCTACTTGTTGTACGGTATCTGACTACCGTACCTACTTTGGATCTTCAGCGACGCGAACGCGAGAGACAATTCGGTAATAGACTTTCCACACCGCGGCGCCAACTCGCGCCTTTGTTTCAATTGGGTGGGTGGTGCGCAAGGCAGACAGAGAGAGAGAGAGAGAGAGAGAGAGAGCACATGCTATTTATGTTACCGGCGTCGACCAACAGAAGTACGGATATGGTTAAGAAGGAGATCGGAATTAGCAATTAGCATAAAGTAGGGCGGCCCGCCCGCCTAGCCTAGCCTAGCTTAGCCTAGCTTAGCTTAGCTTAGCCTACCCTCCCCTCCCCTCCCCTCCCCTGTCCTGTCTCTCTCATTCCTCCCTAAGTACTGGGCAAACCGTTGCAAGTGAGATTCGCGAGCTTTCTAGATCGGGAGTCCACCCGTCGATCCCGTCCTGCCTTTACCATTTCGAGACAAAGGCCCGAGAGTTCGAGTCTTGTCTCGGTTCTACTACCAGTACAGTCCTGACTGTACTGTACTTACTGCACTGGTAACAGTAATAACATACGCAATACAGGAGCGACGGCGGCCCGCACACCTGCGGGATCGATCGGCCAGCCGGTCGGTCGGTCGGTCGGTCGGTCGGGGGACCCGTCGTTGGTAGCGAATGAAAAGGATGGAGGGGACAGCGCTATTGTTGGTGTGGTTAAACCGGCTGCAGCCCCAGACCCATTTCGCTTGACTCTAGGCTAGGGGGAAGGAGGAGGGAGGCCCGTGAATGGTGGTGGTGGTTGTGGTTGTGGTTGTTGTTGTTGTTGTTGCTGTTGTTGTTGTTGTTGTTGTTGTTGTTGTTGTTGTTGTTGTTGTTGTTGTTGTTGTTGTTGTTGTTGTTGTTGTTGTTGTTGTCCCTGCAGCTACGTCCGCTAGCTGACATTACGGAGAGAGGCCGGAGAAGAGAGGCCCGCCAATCTCAGGGTTTCTCGCCAAGTGCTCAACTCAATGCGCCCTGAGAGGGCGACCAGTGGCGACCACCGATTCGGCAGGCCCCTGGTACGGAGATCCAACCCTCTACTGTACTGTACTGTCCTGTCCTGTAGGTACGGTAAGGACAGGGGGCTGATGTGACCGTCTATTCTCGGACGGGTCTTACCTTCTTTCCTCGCTGTTGACCTTGGCCGGGCACCGGGCACCGGGCACCGCACGCAAGCCATCGAGCAGCTTCGTCTACGACTACGACCACGACCATCGTCAATCTTCGGCCAATGGGCACTTGGGACTGGGCACTCGGAGCGCAGGCCAGATAGATCGACCAGTCCCGGATCTGGTTGGTGATGTGGATGATATCATCTGGACACTTGCGATCAACTTGTGCTTGACCCGTTGACAGCGGCGCCTTCGATGTCTATCTGTCTATCTGTCTATCTGTCTATCTGTCTATCTGTCTATCTGTCCATCTCTCCCAGCCTTGACACGAGCTCGACCCTCATCCCGTCTCTAGCGACTTCTGCTTATCAGAAGCACTGCCATGGGTTTTGTTGAGTTTCACATCGCAGGCCCGTCCGCCATTCATTACAACTACTTCGTATACGAAGTACTACGTACGACTACTACGTACTACTAGTTGTCGAAGTACCTACCGACATACCCATGTTGAACATACTACTACCATACCGTACGTACGTACATCGTCCCAGATTGACCCTAGGATCCAGAGTGCACGAAGTGCATCATCCTGATAGACGGCAGGGTTGTGAGAGCCCGGTCCTTGTCCCTGTTGTTTCCCTCACGGGTCTTTGGGGAATCCGGACGGCTCAGGGGCGCCTGACTCGTGCCCCCACCAAAAAGCAAAGAGACTCGAGGGAGTGGTGGCATGCTGAGACATTGATATGCATCTTCGGATTAAATCATACGAACGTTGAGCTACAACTAGTCGCTGCATGCAGCTCGCAGCCGCAATCTTCGAGGATGCATTCAGGATGCCGGGTGGGCAGTGATTGTGGTTTCGCGATTGGCCGAGGGGGAAATCCACCTGCCCGTCTGTCTGTCGGTCGGTCTGCAAGGCGTACTGGGCTGACTGGACTGACTGGACTGACTGGACTGACTGGACTGACTGGATTGACTGGATTGACTGGGCTGCTTGTCGGAATCTCCAGGTGGTGGGGGTGGGGATACGAACAACACCCGGATATTCCAACATGTACCTACGGGATGTGCAGATGCCGCTCGATCGGGATGGGTGACTGATTGACTGATGGAAGTGGTGACTGTCTGTCTGACTGACTGACTGACTGACTGATTGACTGACGGACGGACGGACGGACGGACTGACTGGACACAGCGGTACCAGCGGTTACTCGGTGCAACAACGGTCATCAACCATAACTTCGGGACGACGTCTGGAGAATCCCAACCAATGTCCCCGGCGGGAGCGTGCATGCTTGTCAAACCCCGATGTTTTCGATTGCGATGTCAGGGTGAGATTATTCCCAAGCGCTGCTGCAGCTGCGGCTGCAGCTGCGAGATGGGACGGGGGTCGATGGATGATTTATTTTTCCTCTTGACCCCTTTTTCTTCTTCTCCCTCTCCGCTCCCTTTCCTCTTCTTTTCTTTTCGTTCCAGCGATGAGGATCAAATGAGGGTAAAGACGCGAGCGTCTCCGTCCGTCCCGCGGGATCTGTGGTACCGCGGTCCCTCAGAAGATGGAAGGTCGTAGCGACAGCGAGAAAGTCACGGAAAGGGAAGGAAAGGAAAGGAAAGTTGAGCTGTCGTCTGGTTTTGTGTCGTCGTCGTCTTGGTGGTGACGGTGGTGGTGGTCGTGGTGGTCGTGGTGGTCGTAATCGTCGTCGTCATATTTCGTCGAGATGGGTAGTAGTGGTCGCCCCGTCGCATTTCTCATTCCCCTCATTCCCCTTCTCGGTCAGCGTCGGCGACCTGTGAAGAATCCGGTGCGATGGGTCCAACGCTCAAGATCCGATCTGTGCTGCTGCTGGTGGCCCGTACGCCCTCCGTTTTCCACCGTCGGCGCTCACTGGGCGAGGGCCGCCTTAGCGCTGCACAACATCAAGTGAGGACGGAGGAATGCACCGGAATCAGTCAAGAGGCTTTTTTTTTTCCCTACAGTGCGGCGCCGACAACAAGCATACGGGGGGCGCAAGCACAGCAGAACAAGCATAAACCACCAGCACCCGCACCCGCACCAGCACCCGCAGCCGCCCGCACGCGCCTGCGGCTGGTCTGATCGCGCACTCGTGACGTGAACCACTACGATCGGGCCCAAATCGACTCTGGGACCGTTGACGTTGACGGTTGAGTGACTGTTGACTGTTGACTGTTGCTGTTGACTGTTGGTTGACTGTTGACTGTCGACGGCTCGAACGATGTGGTCACGGCCAGTGAGGCCGAGCGAGAAAATGCACTTTCGGGGGTGGGGGGGGGTGGTAGGTGCACGCCAGCCCGGCGGCCAGCAGCAATTCGAGCAGTATTCGGTTTCCTCAATGGGCAACATCTTGCGAGTCGTCCATGGCAGCAGCAGCAGCAGCAGCAGCGTGTAGTAGTATTTCCTCTTCCAAATACCTGGACCAGCCAAAAGAAACGACAAGGGGGGGTCGCACAGCAGGGATTCCCGCAAATCAGAAGAAATACTCCAGCAAGTAGTAGTAGTAGGTACAGTGCAGAGACGTACGTAGTAGGTGTGTAAGCCTTGCGGACCCATCCGGAGATCCTGCGACTCTTCTTTTTGGTTTTTTTTTCCCCCGCCAGGATGTGAACCGGGATCCCGGACTAGGGCCAGGGCCAGGGCCAGGACCAGGACCAGGACCAGGACCGGGACCCGATGGAGCTGCAGATCCACAGATCCAGTGCGGCCGTCAAATCTGGAAGGGCAAAAGAAGCGACGACGACGACGAACACGACGATGAACACGACAACGACAACGACGACGACAGGACAGGATGCGCACAGAAGATTCGCCAGACCGAGGTAGGGGGAGCAGGACGGAGATGAATCAAGTGTGGACTGATTGCTATGCTCTACGTAAGATTCAGCTCAGATGGTCGACACTCGACACCACGATGACTTAATGGCGACGGTCGGTATATGAGATGGAGTCCCTCGACCGGACGTACCAGCATTACCGCCCCGCCCCGTACCGTAGAGTATCGCATCTACAACGATGATAGTATAATGCAGTCTCGTCGCGTCTGAATGTGATCAACATTCCCCCGCCGCCGCCGTGTGACCGAGTCGCGATCTGCGTCACCCGAAAACAGTTCCAGCCCACTGTACCGGGTTTGGGATGGTGGGACCGAACCAGCGTGGATCCGTCGGGCTAGTTCGCGGGGCCGTTGTCGTTACCGGTGAGGGGGACTAGGGAGGGGTTAGAGAGAGGACTGGTGACTGGGGACTGGGGACTGGGGACTGGTGACTTGGTGCCCATGTGATAGATCACGATATTCGTGGTGTGTAGGTAGTCGTAGCCCGAAAGACTACTCGGTTCGGCAGGGAGCTAAGTCCCTCTAGTCGCGAGTGCCTAGTCGCGAGTGCCTCATCGCTAGTCCCCAGCGAGCTACGGCCAGGCACAGATGACGCGAAAGAAAAAAGAAAGACATGTATGGGACCGGATATTCGTCCTTCGCCAGGACACCAGTACCAAAGGAGGTATTCTTGCCGATGGCTGGGCCGAATGGGGGGAGATACAGGAGCATTTGCTGTATCGAGGGAAGTGACTTCTTTTTCTTCATCGACTCGACACTACACACACACTACACACACACACATCGTCCCTTCCTGGTCCTTGCTCATTTCCAGTCCAACTCCCACTCCCACTCCCACTCCCACTCCCACTCCCACTCCCACTCCCTCTCCCACTCAGCTCAGCTCAGGTCGGGTCAGCTCCGCCCAGCTCCGCCCAGCGCCGCCCAGCTCAGCCCAGTCCTGACCAGTTCAAGGCCGGACCAGTTGCAGCGCCCCAGTTCAAGCCCCAGTTCAAGCCCCAGCTCAAGCCCCACTGTAACTGGCTACTGCAACTGACTGACTTGTCCTACCAACGTCTGATCGTCCATCTCACCTCTGTCGCTCGCGCTCTCACGCTCTCTCGCTCTCACGCTCTCTCTCTCCCCCTCTCCCCCTCTCGCTCGCTCTCTCATCTCCCCTTCTCTCTCTTATATCTTCACGCACCCGCACTCCCCCCTCCCGCCCACACATCCATACATCCACACATCCACCTACTCATCTACATACTCAGACACATCCTCTCTCCCCTCCACACACACACCCTCTGCCAACAGTCACTGGACTGATCTAGCTTCCGTCCGTATCCTGCCCTGCCCTGCCCTGCCCTGCCCTGCCTTGCCGATTCGACCTAGTGCACGTTGGAGCCGAACTAGAACCATCTCCAACAGACGTCGCCCGCGCTGCTGAGAGCTATCCCCCGACAGCATCACGAACGGTCAAAAGTAAAATCCACAGCACGCTCACCATCTCACCATTACCCGTGGGTTGCCGAGTATCTCTGACCCCAGTACCGGCCCGGACAGTCGGTGCAAGCGGCCGTATATATCACAACGCGTCTGTGATCCACAAGTGATCCTCCCTCCCCCCCGCCGCCTCGCCCCCAACCCGCAAACCCCGAGACGCGGGAAAGTCGGCTGGCCCCCAATGACCACATCTGCCCGCGCCTTCACCTCCATTCATGTCCAGTACACATCGCAGAGGCCCATGGTCACAGCAGGAAGACGCGTACCTGTGCCAGCTGGTCCAAACGCAAGGCGCCTTGAACTGGGTGCGGATTGCCCAGCTCATCGGCACCCGCTCGCCCAAGCAGTGCCGGGAACGCTACCACCAGAACCTGAAGCCGTCGCTGAATCATGCTCCCATCAGTCCAGAGGAAGGAGTGCAGATTGAGCAGATGGTGGAGGGCATGGGCAAGCGCTGGGCCGAGATTGCGCGCCGACTGCAAGGGCGCAGCGACAATGCCGTGAAGAACTGGTGGAACGGGAGTATGAATCGTCGCAAGCGTCTGGATCTGAGAAGACAGGCCTTCATGCGGCAGCCCCCGTCGGCGGCCTACGACGAGACGTCGCAGCCCCTCTCATACACCGGGCCACCGCCGCCGCCGCCGCCGCCGCCTGCGCATCATTACCATCACCATCATCATCCCCTCTCCATCGCGCCGACCACCACCTGGTCGGCGCAGCGAGGCCTCGATGGCCCCCTGCCGTCTCCCGCCGTCTCCGACTCCGAGGCGTCGCGGGCCGCCGAGTCGCTCGAAGGCGCCCCGTCCCTCGTTTCCGATGCCGGCTCGGCCTTTTCCGGAATTTCCGACGCCAGTCCGACCTTTTCCGTCTCGCCCCGCTTAGCCCCGTCACCCAGTGTCGAGCTGCCGCCCCTGCCTCCGGTCTGGGGCGATGACCGGAGACCGAGTCTGCCCCAGACCCCGTTCGGGCCCCCTCCGGCATACCGGGGACACATGGCCTATCCGTCCATACCGTTGCCGCCGCGCTTCCCCGGCGAGGCGCAACCCACCCCATCCCACCCGGGCCCCCCGCCGCCCCCTCCCGACGTGGTTCCCCCCCGATGGCAGCAGCACCCGCATCAGATGCCACCCCGCTCCCCCCCCACATATTGCCTCCGGTCGCCCCCACCCCTCTTCCTCACCGCACCGCCCACCCCGGTGCAGCTGCCTCCGCTGCAGTTGCCGCGAAGGACCAGCGACTTGGAGCCACATCCATTCCAACCTCCACATGAGACATACCTCCATCGGGAGCCAACAGTGACCTCGAGTGGGCCCGGATCCGCCGCCGAGCCACGACGATCGATGGAGGATCCATCGACCCGAGCCCCCCAGGGGACATCAGGTTCCTCGTCCATGTCCCATACTCGCGGCGAGAGAGCACCGCCCTCGGCCGAGAAGGATCAGCGGATGAGTCTCTCGTCTCTGTTAGAATAGCCAGCGGGCTGTGGGTTATTCCACCGCCGATGATGTCCCTCCCCAGGTGGCATACCACCCTGCACCCCGGACACGCGTGCGGGTGGGAGGGTCGTTGGGAAACCTCTTCTCTCGTGTTCTGATCTACTCGTCGCGAGGGATCAGAACCGCTGGCCGAGAAGGACCAGTGGATGGAGGCATCCCTCTTTTCTGTCAGCATAGCGTGCGGGTTGTGGGATTTTTGTAACGAACCTTGTATTCAGTATCCATAATACCATGCATGTCCTTTGTATCAATATTTTTCTTCCCTTCTTCCGCTTGCAATTCCATTTAATTCCCAATGTCATTGGATAGTCCTTGGCCGTTTGGGGCGGGTCGTGTTTAGAGAATTGTCTTTGCATTTCTTTCGATTGGCTTGACGTT